TTTTTATGGTTTCAGGTCTTACATTTAAGTCCTTGATCCATCTTGAGTTGATTTTTGTATAAGGTGAGAGATGAGGTTCCAGTTTCATTCTGCTACATTGTGGCTTGCCAGTTATCCCAGCACTACTTGTTGAAAAGGGTGTCTGTTCCCTCCGTTATGTTTTTGTTTGCTTTGTTGAAGATTGTTGGCTGTAAGTATTTGGATTTATTTCTAAGTTCTCTCCAAAAGCAAATGCAACAAAAACAAAGGTAAATATGTGGGACTTAATTAAACTGAAGAGCTTCTGGACAGCAAAAGGAACAGTCAGCAGAGTAAACAGGCAACCCACAGAGTGGGAAAAAACCTTCAAAATCTATACATTTGTCAAAGGACTAATTTCCAGAATCTACAAAAAACTCAAACAAATTAGCAAGAAAAAAACAATCCCATCAGAAAACAGGCAAAGGACATGAATAGACAACTCTCAAAAGAAGATACACTAATGGCCAACAAACATATGAAAAAATGTTCAACATCACTAATGATCAGGGAATTGCAAATGAAAACCACAATGCAGTACCACCTTAGTCCTGCAGGAATGCATAAACCAAAAATCAAGAAATAATAGATGTTGGTGTGTATGCAATGAAAAGGCAACACTTATACACTGCTGGTGGGAATGTAAACTAGTACAACCATTATGGAAAACAGTCTGGAGATTCCTTAAAAAATTAAAAGTAGAACTACCATTTGATCCAGCAATCTAACTAATGGGTATCTACCCAGAGGAAAAGAAGTCATTATACAAAAAAGATAATTGTACACGCATGTTTATAGCAACACAATTTGCAATTGCAGAACCAGCCCAAATGCCCATCAGTCAACGAGTAGATAAACAAATTTTGGTGTGTGTATATGAGTAGTATTCCATTGTGTGTGTCTATATATTTATATCGACAACCAGATACATATATATATATATACACACACACACACACACACACACACACCCTTATACATATAGACAACCAGAATGTGTGTGTGTGTGTATGTGTGTGTATATATATATGAACACACAATGGAATACTACTCAACCATAAAAAGGAACAAACTAATGGCACTCACAGCAACTTGGATGGAATTGGAGACTATCATTCTAAGTGAAGTACCTAAGGAATGGGAAACCAAACATCATATGTTCTCACTCAAAAGTGGGAGCTAAGTGTTGAGGATGCAAAGGCATACGAATGATACAATGGACTTTGGGCACTCAGTGGACAGGGTGGGATGGGGGTGAGGGGCAAAAGACTACAAACTGAGTTCAGTGTATACTGCTCAGATGATGGGCACACCATAATCTCACAAATCACCATTAAAGAACCTACCTGTGTAACCAAATATCACCGGTTTCCCAAAAATCGATGGAAATAAAAAGTTTTTTAAAATGCTCTCCCTATCTGTTATTCTGTATCTCCTAATGGGACTTCATGACTAGTCAGGTGGAATTAGAGAAGGAAGTGCTCATAGAAGCTGCAGTTAAGCATAGACTTGGAAGATCTCCAGCCTGATTCTGTAGTGCATTGATTCAAAAGAACAAAACCAAAGATCTCATGAAGCAGGTAAACCTTTATTATTCTAAAGAATTAGACATGGTGGTCCTTGCTGGAGTGAAGACTCAAGGTCTCATCAAGGGGAAAGCATGTCTAGTGTGTCTTCATAAATGCTATATACTGGTGTATTAATATCCTAATATTTCTTCTGCTTAGTTTTTAGCTGTTGGGAACTGTTTAGATGGCATTAAGCTTTATCCTCTTTCATTACATTAGGATTCTGGTTAACCATTTCCGTGTACCAAGCCACCCTAAAACTTAATAGCTTAAAATAACAATTTATTATATAGTTGGTGCAAAAGTAATTGTTGTTTCTGCCATTACTTGTAATGGTGCATTTGAAACTGCAATGAATTTTGCACCAACCAATACTACCTTCACAGTTCTGAGCGCTGACTGAACTTGCCTAGACAGTTTTTGCTCAAAGCTTCTCATGTGGTTGCATTCAGACAATAGCTAGAGCTGGTATCATCAGAAGGATGGATTGGTCTAGATATCCAAGATAGCTCTCTAACAAGGCTAGAAGTTGATGCTGGCTGTCAGCTGGGATCTGAGGCTGTCTACAGGAACACCTATACATGGCTACTACATGAACTTTGGGCTTCTCATCATGGACATTAGATTCACAGTGTCACTTTTGCCACACTATATTGCACAACATAGTCGCTGGCCCTGGATCACCCAGATTCAAAGGGGTAAAGAAATAGACTTGATGGTGGAGCAGCAACATTACACTATAGAAGAGTGTGTATTGCTTTGCTCATCTTTTGAAAATGTAGTCTTCCACAATTATTGGCATACAATCTTTGGGTTGCTAAACTTTTAGATAACATATGCCAAGAACTGGCCAAGTCCTCCATATTTTACACCTCTCTACTCGTCTTTTAGAGCCCTTTCTGATTATATGCTCTGCTTCTTAAATATTCTGGACTCTCATGTTCCCTTAATTCTCATTTTCAGCCTTTCCCCTATCAAAACTCTCCTATTTTGTGCTCCACATTTTCAGGATCAGTTTTTCTGCTGGGTAAGTATGGGTAATGTGAGATGTTTAGCTTTGATTTTCTGTATTAGCATCTCTGTGCAGGTGTCTGATGATAAAATTAGGTTCCCAGAATATGTGGTACAATATGAATACATAATTTTCATTACTGGCTAATATTTTGGCTATAGAGAGTTATAGAGAACTTGGTTTTATAGTGTGAAAATGTCAAGAAAATGCCCTTAGCCATTCAGTTTTAATGCCTTTATGCCATTCAGGCACAAGAAGCCAGACTATTTTATTTCTCTTGATTTAGGCTGTGACTTTGCTGGCCTTACATAGCCTTTCAGAAGTGTAGCTGCCCTTTCCAGGCAACTCCTATCCCCAGAGAGGACACACATGTATACAACCAAAGACATTCACTATAGATACATCAGATCTACCTTAATTTCTTTAATGTCTCACAAAAAGCTACCATCATTAGTCTTGGAGAAGGAAGTAGGTAACCATTTCAAAGGCCAAGACAGTTTGTATAATGGTTAAGGACCAGACTTGGAGGCAGAGGTCCTGAGTTTAAATCCAAGACCTATAACTTATTATATGAAAGTTAGGCAGCTCACTGTACTTCAGTTTCCTCAACTGTAAAATGAGGGCAGTGATAGCACCTACCTCGAAAAACTGTTGTGAGAATTGTATATACCTGGCATGCAGCAAGTACAATAAGTATTTGCTATTATTCCTATTTTGTCATTGGCTACTTTTGAAGAATCTCCATACTATTGGAGAAGAGTAATAGACTATGTGATCAGTAAGAGATGAAATGATACACATCCTTTTGGTGTGTTCACTGGTTAATGTGTTGCCCCTCCCAGGGAATATAATGCTGTAAAAACCATCATTGTATCAATATGCTCCTGCTGGGTCCATGGCTCCTTAAGGAGGAGAGCATATGCTAGAATTTCAGGCACCATAGGAGGTCAATGAGGGGAATATTTTTGTTGAAGGAGAAAACTCTTTTAAAGTTGCTGATTACGTCTACCCATTGAGTCAGCTATACTCCTTAAGTATAAAAACAAAATTATTTGTATGTTTCTTTCCATTTTTTATTGTAAAGTTTTATATTATGTTTTCTTTTTAATTTTTAAAAATGCCACAATGTCAAACCATTCCAAAAGGTTATAACTCCCAAAATGTTAAAAATCACTGACTAGAGATAAATTGTAATTCAAAGCCCATGATCCCATAATCAGGGAAAATTTGTAGGCTCCAAAAACTAGTAGGGTGATGACACTAGGTTCAAAAAGATGTATTATTCTAAGGCATATTCTGACCTGGATAATTACTGAGAAGCTCGGAAGAAAAACAATTACATATCAACATAATTGCTATCCAAAAACAAACAAAAACCATAACTAATACTAAAAAAGAATAGCAAAATATATTTTTAGCACCTACTCCATTAAAAGACCTTATCTCATAGGAGACCTATATTATTTTATTAATTCAATTTTATATTGGAAGAAGTGAAGGCTTGACGAAATAAAGCAACTTGCCCAAGTCCTGCAGGTGGTAGCTTTTTATGCCAAGAGTCAAATTCAGATATCTCTAGCTCTGTGCTCAAACTCTGAAACTGCAACCTCTGTTCACACATTCAGTGCTCACAACACAAGTCTTGACTTTTCATCTTGGCAGGAGAGGAGCTCCATAGTTAATCCTAAAATGCTTTTCTGCCTCATCTTTCTTCATCACCCCAGACCAATCCTCTGTTACAGCTGTGGCAGTCTTCTCACTGACCTTGTTATCTGTTGTGCATAACTGTGTCCTCTGGACCTTCAGGTTTCACATCCATAATAATCTCCTGTTCTCCACTCTGCTGATTTAAACCTTGATATTCCTCAGAACATTCTTAATGTAATCAGCTTCACACATCTTCCCCTGGGCTCCCAAATTTGGTGCAATTACCTGTCTGCTGGACTTCCTGTGTCATTGCTGGAGTTTTGTTTGACTGACATCATAGGTTCCTTTTGTTTCTGTGCAGCATACAGCTTGCCTCCCTGAATAGGGCAGGGTCTTATGCCTCCTCTTACATCTTTTATCTAACACATGGTAAGCCCTCAGTAAACACTAGGTAAGTGACTAATGATCTGTTTTGTGACAAAAAAATAAAAATAAAAAAGCCTTTGGATGAGTCTGTTGTTTATTATAGAATTTCACAAGAGAGAATAAGTTCTTGAAAATGAAAGTGATTGAGAAGAGTTCATAGAAAAGTCTTCCTCGTTGGAGACCAGGCTGCTCAACATGGTGAAATCCTGTCTCTACTAAAAATAAAAAATTAGCTGGATGTGGTGGCACACGCCTATAGTCCCAGCTACTTGGGAGGCTGAGGCAGGAGAATCACTTGAAGCTGGGAAGAGGAGGTTGCAGTGAGCCGAGATCGCACCACCATACTCCAACCTGGGCAACAGGATGAGACTCCATCTCAAAACAAAAACAAACAAACAAAGGTCTTCCTCATAAGAGAAAATTTATCCTTCTCCTTTGCAGAAAATGCCTCTGTAGTACAAAAACTTTAAAAATGCAAATATTTTTAAAGAAAACAAAAACTTTATAAAAGCAAAGTTCAGCATAAATACATGTGACCTACACATGTTGTTGCTGTTATATAGTTAATATATATAATAGTTATATAGTTAATTCAGATTAGGCAAAGAAGTTGAATCAATACTGGGGAGAAAATAAGTACATTGACAGATCTTTTCCAGATAATCTTCAAGATTCCCATGGTGAGAATAAAAACTATGGCCAAGGAAATCAATAAAGAAAAAAAGTTACCCAAAGTCAGGTCTAATAATTTGAAGAATTTTACATGCTTCAACTAGATTCTCAGAGACATCAAACAACTTGTCCAAGTTCTGCAGGTGGTAGTTTTATACGCCAAGAGTCACACAGATGAGTGTGTTACTCTTCATGTGGTGAGACATGGACTTGCGCTTACTCTGTGACAAAATTTCATTATCTAGAAAACAAAGAAAGTGAACTGAACTGAACAATCACAAATGTTAGTTTGAGCTATTTTAAATTATTTGGCTTCAAACAGCGTTAATCCTAAAGAAATAAAGTAGGGAAATTTTGTAACTGGTGACCTCTTATTTTTCTAGAATTCACCTTCCCCACCCCGCCCTACTTCTAACCTTCCCAAGGCAGAAAATAATGTCATGTTGCCCTCTGGTTTATCACCAACAAATCTATACCTTTATATTACAGTTTGCAACCACTTTCTTGGGTATTATCTTATATGGCCTTCACAAGTTCATGTTATACAGAAACAAACCCCTTTTGCAGATGTTCAGTTTCATGGAGGTTAAAAAACGTACCATAAAGTTTGATGTGTTGGGGAAGGTAGTTGTACCTCCAGTGCTTTGTTCTTTCCCTGGGCCATGCTGTCTCTCAGGGGCCAACAATGCAGGTGATTCTCCAAACTGATCTAATGTTACTGAGCCTACGTCCCACAGCTTTGCTATCTCTTCTTCACTACTCAAATAAGAACTCTACTCAAGTTCCTCATTTAAATGGGATGCCTAGCTCTACTAAAATCTCAGCATAAAACAATAACATCTGTCTTAATCGATGACTGAAAGAAAGTTCCTCCCATAAATATCAAATAGAATGTCAAAGTCAACCCATTAGGCCTAGGGAGGGTAACAGTGAAAATTTTAAGTTTCAGGGCCTGTTTAAGAAGAAAGATAGGTAAGACTGAAAGACATATAGGTTTATATTTTCTTTAAAATCGTCCACATATTGCTTTGTCTTCAATGCACACACAGTGGCAGGAGTTGAGGGTAGGTAGGAGTGGAAATTCAACAGATGTAAAAGGTAAAGGTCCTATCTTTAGGAAGATAGACATATAGAGTGGTAGATATATATATATACACACACACACACACATACATACACACACACACACATACACATGTAGATTTCTTTCATTTTAGGCAAGTTATAAATTGAATGTACAATTTATAATTCAGCAGCATGTAGTCAAATTCCAAACTGCAGGGATGGAGTGCTCAGTGAGGAGCTGAAAGAAGGGGTAAGGATCAGTAATAGAATGCAGGCTTAGGAAGGGGATTTGAGCCCAGCTCTGAAGGATGTCTAGGCTTTATACATGGGAAAGTGGAGGCGATGCTAGCTCTGGAGCTGACAGTTAAAGTGCACGCAAAATTTTGGTTGAAAACTACACACATGATCTTCACCTAATTTTCTTCCTCTTACTCAAAGATGGAAGAGTGAATCAAGGTGTGGAAAAAGGAAGGGAATAATATGACTCTGATATCATGAAGACTTTGTCTTAAAGCAATAAGGAAGACATCTTAGAAAACAGGAAGAGACTGCCTGTCACATGTGTTAAACTACAATTTCCCAAGTAATACTGCTTTTCTATTTGTGTTTTATCTCTTCCCTTGAGTCCCACCACAGTGCCAGGCCCTGGGATGCACTAGTCTTGAAACACTTCAGAACAACACTTTTACTGCACCCCAGGGAGGCAGCTAAATGCTAGCACATCTGTGCATTTTATAGAAACCGAAGCATAGGCAAATTGGTTTTTTTGGGGGAGAGGAGGAGGGATGTCCAACTGTCTGTTACTTCACAAGACTCTTTGAATTCAATCCACTTCATAGCCCATATGGCTGGTGTATATGGATGGACATAACCATTCAAACATTTTCAGAAACTGGTAGAAGTATCACTAAGTACTTGGAAGAGTCCAATTGCCTTACCTTCAATCACTGACACTCTTCAGTTTTCATTTCTCTTTGCCAGTATTTGGGCATATATATTTTTTCTTCTCTCTTTTAACACTAATTAATAGACTGTATTTTTCAGAACAGTTTTACAGAAAAATTGAGCAGAAAGTACAATTCCACATGCCCCAACACCTTCCATCATAATTTTTTCTATAGTTAATACCTTGCATTATTACTGTATATTTGATGAACAAACACTGAGAAATTATATAAGTTAAAGTTTTTAGTTTATATTGGGGTCCCTCTTGTGTTATATAGTTCTTTGGGCTTTGACAGATGTATAATGCCAGGTATCAACCCATATAGTGTCATACAAAAGAGTTTCAGTGCCTGAAAATCCCCTGTGCTCCATCTCTTCATCCCTCAATACCCTCATACTTCTTTCTTTCTTCTTCTTCTTCTTTTTTTTTTTTTTTTTTTTTTTTTTTTTTTTTTTTTTTTTGTGAGACAGAGTCTCGCTCTGTCACCTAGGCTGGAGTGCTGTGGCATGAGCTCAGCTCACTGCAACCTCCGCCTCCCAGGTTCAAGCGATTCTTCTGCCCCAGCCTCCTGAGTAGCTGGGACTACAGGTGCCCACTGCCATGTCTGGCTAATTTTTTTGTATTTTTAGTAGAGACGGGGTTTCACCATATTGGCCAGGCTGGTCTCGAACTCCTAACCTTGTGATCTACCCACCTTGGCCTCCCAAAGTGCTGGGATTACAGGCATGAGCCACTGCTCTTTCTTAAAATGTAAAAATCTTTAGAACTATGAAGTGAGAAAGAGCTTATAATCTGCTATAGTCAAATCTTTATAGAAGAGACTGAACGTGAAATATTGTTAAATTTAATGATGGAATAGTGGTGGCATGCTAGTCCTGAATTCTTTCCTCCTGCCCTGCCATTACATGGTGTTTTTCAGGATAGAACATAAAGCTCAAATGAAGATCAACCACCACCCTTAAATTAAGTTTTTCAAATAAATAGGATTATAATGCTATTAGGATGGGAAGACATGTTTGGAGGTGTATTTAATTGGGGGAGGGCATAACTGAAATTCCCTAAGCAGATCTAGAGACATATGGTGGGGATAAAAAGGGACAGTTCAGGGACTGACTGTTTATGGCCAGCTTTTGGTTCCATCTTCTAAAGGGAAAAAGGTAAATTAATCTTTGAAGTTTTCTTCTAAGATTCTCAGACTGGCTTAATCAGGAAAAGCAGGGAAACAAGTTCCATGGCTCAAGAACAAAGCGTTCTTGCTAAAACATCTTTCAGTGTCATGATTAAGAACACAACCTCTGTAGTGAGACTGACATGAATTCAAATTGTGACTCCTGGATCTGTGTGATATCTGTACATCCCAGTTTCTCCAGCCCATGCATGACCAACAGTACCTATATTTTAACTGGGACTTGTAAAGAAGAAGATGAGATGGCAGTTGCCAAGAGGCTCACTCAGCCACTGACCAACATGATGTTATTCACAAACAATAGTTCATAATGTAGTGTCGTAATAATGAGCTGCTGAATGGTATGTTAGTGAAAAGAAGACTAACCTCCCTAAGGAGTTAGAAAAGAAATCAGAAAAAAGCTGGAGTGTGTGTGTGTGTTTGCATGTATGTATGAATAGATGATGTTTGAACAATTACAAAAGAAAAGGAGGACCCTAGGGATTGACAGACAGGATGGTAAATGATAGATGAAGTTTCCAGAAACGGAAGTAGGAGATCAGTGGGTACAAACCAAGTTTGTGAGTGGGCAGCATGCCGGGAATCCCAGTTAAGGCATCTTTCTTTGACCTTATGAAAGAAAAAATTCTGTTTTAAATTGAAAAACTACACTTTGTTTTATTAACTATTATTATTATTATCATTATTATTATTACTGTTTAATTTCCAGGTTCTTTATCAAGAAGATACTTTTTGTTTTTGCCACCTTACGAAGTTAAATCAAAATAAATACCTGCCTCCAACCAATGAAATGCTAATGCATGTACTTAGCAGAGAAATCACTTTAATGTTGGCCTAAACTCTTTGCCCTAGCATCACCGGACCCCATCACTGGAGAACACGAGTTAATAAGCTACGCAAAACCCTGCAACATTGTATTCTCAGTGTGCGCTTATGAGACAACTACCCAAGTAAAAGGTTAAAACAAGAAAATATTTAGCAGGAAGTTTAATTCTCTCTGAGGGATTAAAAATTGGCTTCCTGCATTTCTGTGTTAAGGCTCAACTGTTCTGTAGAGCCACACACCTGGGGACCCTGAGACCTGAGAAGAAGGGTAAGTAAAGCCCTTTGACTGGTGGCGAAAAGAACGAACAAGCAAGATTCTACTAGTTTTCAAGAACTGTTATGAAATCCGAAGAAGTATTTCTTGGAATTTCAGGCTGATGGCCCTTCTGTTCTCTACTGAAAGATTTCCCATTGCAGCTAGGCAGTCCACTTTCTTCCTGTATGTTTTGGTACAAAGTAATGGTCTCTAATTTGTGCACACTATTGGCCATAAATAGCAGATGGTTTGTACACACCATTTCAATTTCATTATAATGCTTTTCAAATTTTCATTCTTTGAAATGTTTAAGTTTTCATTCTTAAGTGAGCCATCAAAGCCTTACAGTACAGAAAAGTGAGGGGAAAAGACTTGGTGGTTTTAATTTTAGACAGCAGTTGTCAGATTGGAGAGAAAAACATTTGAGGAGGTAGGTGAGAGAGACAGGGAAAGACAGCCAGGGAATGTGTTGGGCCACTTAAACCAGACCAACCACAAATACATTCACCATGGAGAAGTAAATCTGACCCTCAATTCCATCCATCTACATGACAACTGTTCTCCTTCAAATGGTGGTTCATGTTCATAAAAAATTTAAGAAAGGGAGATGAATGTGTCTTACTTCAGTGTTTATGAGAGTGTTCTGGAAGGATTTTTTTCTCCGATATATAAAAATTCAGCATGCCTAGCAGAGAGGATTTGGTAAGGGACAGAGAGAAGCATTTTTTGTCATTATGTTAATGTACCATCCCAACTTCACTATTGATGCCAACAGCCCTCGGGGTGCGAGGCTCTCTCTCACTCTCAGGTCAATTCCTCTGCGTGTGTTGCACAGAGAGCCCCCTTCAACAGGGAGCCTTGACTCGTGAACATAGACATACCTACTGGGCCATTCCCACACACATAAACGATAATCTCAGGACTGTTTCCTATTTTTTTATATTTCAAATCCAGGGTGTGGGT